CAATGATTAGATAGATTATTTAAGCCTTGAATGTAGAAATTATCGATCTACCTTCAGATCATTAAAATCGATGGGTACGAACACAAATATTATAATTATTTAAAATTTGGTTCAAATAATTGAAATATTAAATAACACGGAACAAAAAAAAAGTTTCGAAATACTTGAAAGCATTTATGCTTAGAAATCGCTCAGAAATTAAAAAATCGCTTAAATTTAGTATTTTTCCCATTTTAGTCCATTTATATACGACTTGACAAAATCCAAACACTCGTTAAAGAAAACAAATTAACTAATTTCACACAGGGTGCGCGAAGCCACTGAAATAAAAAAATCACCAACTTTAATAGGGAAGATGTTTGGTGCTTTTCTAAAATCTGGAATTTCCTTATCGTGAAGATGAAAATAAAAATCAACAAAACGCAACAGCCCTCAAGAAACTGTTGGTTCATTCTGTATGAAATAAAACCTAAAAAGAAAAAAAAAGAGGTATTTTTTTTAGGAAATAGACGGTAGTCAGCTCTGTATTCAAATATCGATAAGGTAGTGGTTTTTTCAAAGCCATAAAAGATTCGATCTTCTTCTCGTGGTGGACTTCAACATTCAAATTTCAGTAGTTATGGATTCTGGTAACCAACCTCTAACACTAGGCGACCTCATACATCCGATTGCGCTGATAAATAACCAGCAAAATCTAAATGTCAGTGAGTTAACACGTTTCCATTAGACACAAGTAGTCCTTGGGCAGTTAAAAAGATATTGTTATTAAACAGCTGCAAACCTACGCGAAATTCCATAAGCAAGATTATTCAAAAATGAAACATATGTCTTTGCAAATTAGAACCATTCGGTATCTAAATAGAAGTTCGAAGCCACTACTTGAGATCTCCGAAGATCACGCGATTCGCTAATCACACCATTCGAAACAGTCTAATGATTTATTTTAAATTCATTATTGAAATTGTTTGCATTTTGTTTTTCATAGTCGGTGAACTGTTGTCAATGGTAATAATGTTTTTTTTTATTTATAATCTGTGACAGATCGTTGGAGATTTTCAAGTGTCATCCTTTTTTTTTCTAGCCGGATCCCGAATCTCCTGCGAGGTCCCTGCGCCAGGGGAGGAGGGGGGTATGTGGGACTTGACAATCTGCAGATATTTGGAGCCGACTGTGGGCCCAAGGATCTTTTTAGGGCCCCACCGCACTAAAATGACTCCCCTGCTCTCTCACATCCGACGTCCGATCTACGCCCGGGATCAGAGCCTGGTCAGAGTAGAGGGGTTTCCGCGGTCAACACTATAACCAGACTCGGTGTTCCGGGATACCCTGCTGGGTCAGAACCAGCCTGCCGAGTCGAAACGTAATATACCGCCTACCAACAAGTGTCATTCTAATCTATCGTAACTTATAACTTTTTAATTTGGATAGAACAAAAGAACTGTCGGTATTAAAACTAGTATAACATATTTATCTTATTATGAGGGATAATCGCAGGCACATATTAGTTTATATCACTCAAAGAAACCTTGCGAGCCAGACAGAAAACACTTTAGAGTTTATTGATTCGCAAATATTACAGCATACGTTGTGTAAGGTTTTTTAATTGCAATTAATTTGCATTGTTGAGTCATTGATTATTGATTTAAATAATACACACAAAGTTGGATTTAATATACGGGCCGTACTGAACCCGACAACGAAGACGAATAGTGGTTTTAATGATTACAGATACATTCTCTAGCACAAATTGTTTGCATTTGAGTATACATTTCAAAAAAAATCGAAAATTCTTTAGAATATTTTGGGGGCTGCTGTCACTTACGTTAGTGAAATAATTACGGCTCACTATGATTTATGCCAAAAGATTCGTTTCGTTTTAAATGGTTTTTGCACATTTTAATGTTATCAATAATAATAATAAAAGGGTGCGTGTACTTATGTACATGCGTAAGAAGTTATACTTTATTTTTATTAAATTTATTTCTTTTTTTTTTAATATTAAATAATTAATAATAAATATTTAACGTTAATAATTTAATAATATTTAGTATGAATTATTTTAAATAATAATTTTGTCATTTATATTACTAAAAAATGAATGCTAATAACACTTTTTTTTACGAGTGTACATACGCGAAAGTTCACCTGCGGCTATACTCAGACTCGCCAAGTTACGTCGGTCGTATTGTAATGAGCGATTTAGTGGGCAACTTCATTTCTGTTAATTTTGTGTCACGGTGCGCGCGCATCGTAAAATTTCACTCTCATCAATTTTTCATAACGCGCCTAAAGAAGTATAACTTCAAAAACTCTTGCCCATATTTACATTCAAAATGAGTCAATAATAAAACAGAGAAAATGCGACACATAAATCAATTTAAATCTTGAGGTTATTATTCATTATGGTCGAATTTCAATCATTCGGCGTACACAAATCCAACTTTAAAACCAAAAATGTAGGTAGGCTTAGTTAATGAAAAATATTTTCTCTTTAACCCAATACTTTAGTTTCGTCTGTGGGAATGATTTCATTACAACTATTATACTACCATGCGCTACACTAGTTTATTATTGACACGTACTAAAAGCTTAATTAACGGCCGTCTGGTGTAGTGGTAAGTGACATGGTCACTACACAAGGGGGTCGAGGGTTCGAATCCCGCCAAGGGAAGATATTTGTATGATAAATATAAATGTCTTTTCCAGGGTTATGGATGTATATTAAATATGTGTATGTGTATAATAAAAATCTTATATTTATTTCCGTTATTTGGTACCTGTAACACAAGTTCTTTACGAACTTATCACGGCACCAGTTAATGTGGCGTGATTGTTAATAAATATTTATTTATTGTTATTATTATTATTATTATTAATTACGAGCTTACAATCTTCTAAAACGATCTCAAGCTGATATTTTATTCGAAATTCGTGTCGGGAAACATGTAATTTGGTAGTGGTCGTTGTTGGTGGTTGTAAGGTCACCAGTGCCAGGCGGCACAATAACGAGTCCGTAATTGGATGGACAGTTTATTTCCAATCACAGATAGTATAGCAATATTAAGAAGGAGAAATTACGGAGTACAGAAGGCACAGATAAAGCGGTAGCAAGTTCAAACACAATTATACAAAATAAACGAAAGCAATAATTCGTAACGAAGCAAAAGAGTACGCGTAAGTCGAGGAGTGACACAGTCTTAGCGTAGCGTTGATCAAACCCGACTGGCCGCGAGCGGCGGCCGAGTCGTGGCGCAGGCGACGACCAGTACGTACGCAGTTATACATAGTCGGGGTCTTTGCCGCATACAAGCGGTTGCGCCCGACTATGTTTGTGTAAATAATATAATTTTGAGTAGTGTTGTGAATGTATGATTGTTTGGCGTATTTGTGTACTGTATGAGAGTGTGTTATAGAATACGTAATTAAATATGATATAATATTAAATATTGAGTAGGTGTGCAATGTAAATTAATAAATAATATGAACTAATATACATAAATATAGTAGAAACACCTACATGTAATAGAACTATCAAACGGTGATCTCGAAGAGACTGTTGTGACTATGTTCAAATCCCCCAAACAGGTATAATACAATTTTTTCTAATGAATTACGCACTTAGTCTATATTCACGAAAATCTTCCACAATGTAGGAATAGCATGGTGTGATAAAAAACAAATAACAAAAAATAATTGCGAGGGTATTGTAAGCACCTACGCCTTGGCATCTCCATCCTGCCTATTTGAGATACAAGGTAGTTCCTACTCCTTTGAGGAGTATCTAAATAATAATTCCGGAGTATCTAAAGATCCCTACCGAGAGGTAGCCATGCGTTCCGGAATTGAGAGTTGGGTGCCAACCCTCAAAGCCTTAACTTTAACTCTCAACTTTACTATACAAATGATACTTAGAGCTCATTTTTCGTCATATTTATTGGTATCCACTATGCATCGCACCTGGTGGTTCGGTCGTGTAGTTTTTATTGGTGGTTACTTCATGGATCATTGACTGCGTGTTGCTAGGCGAGAAAACGTGTAATCATATTTAACATGCTCATTGCGTGCAAAGCCGGTAGTAATTGAATGATAGGCATATTTATTGTTGTCTAATTATAGCTTTTATTATTAAATGTTTGGAGGTTTTTGCGCTTGTAAATTTGTTTTGTAAATATTGTCTGAAATATGACTCAAGATTGGTGCTTGAAATTTATTCTAATAGATTCGTTTTCACAGTGCAAATTTATCAGGTTTACTTAGGTATATAAATTTCTTAATTCCGTTTTGTACATTACTTGAATATGTTTATATCTTAATAGTTTAAGACAAAAAAAAACAAATACATTACTCATGATCGAAAATAATTCCTTCTATTAAATATACATATCTTCATCGTAATGAAAGGTAATCATAGTAGGAAGTTGTATTATTTCTGTATTATAGTTTCCTTCATTTTGTTAGGATCTCTTTCTATAAAATTTTGTAAATTAATTTCTGCTTAAATCATATTGTAGTACCCTTAGGTATTCTATAAAACAAAAAAAGTGTACTTATTACCCTATGGTATTAGTATGATTTTTACCATGAGGACTTTCTGGCAGGAACGCGAGTAGTGAAGTTTAGTGATTTGTTATAATTTGTCTATTTAGTGTTTCTTCAGGTTTAAATGTGTAATAATGGTGGTTTATTAACTGTTTAATATCTGTGAAAGTGCACAAATATGGGAAAGCGAAACAAATCCGCTGGACGTAGCTTCTCGGGATTCTCCAAAAACTCCTCTTAAAAAGTCTCAGTAAATAACCACCATTTTACTGAGATTATATTTCATCCCATATCATCTCATCTCATTTCATCTCAGTTGATTAATGTCTCAAATTAATGATCTTCATTTCATTTTACTCCATATGATCTTTTTTCATAAAACTAAGAATATAAATTAAAATAAGACTTGACTTAAAGGTCTTTGTTACCAGGTCATAAAATCCCTTAAATTTTTTTTTTACCTTGACAAGGTCCATGGTAATCTACGACCAAGTGCTTAGCTGGCTTGCGACAGGCTTGTCGGCGTAATTTGCACAGCGAGCGGTAAGTCTGCCCGTCGCTGCCGCACACCGCGCTCACTCTGCGGCACGACGCCGCGCAAACACACTTGGCGCGACCGCCTCTCACCACGCAACGGCGTCCGGCGCCGCAAGACATTCCGGCACATGATTCTGTTAAAAAAATATAAGCGTGTTAAATTGTTATATGTTTTCAAAACCAAAACTATAAGGTTGAATTTTATAAAAATACAGTATTTTAGTTAATTATTTTAAATCATCGTAGGTACCCCTTAATCGCATAGATATCAGAATCAATTAATTTTAATATACGAGAAAGCATATCTTGATGTTTTTCGAGGTGCACCTAATAAATGAGCCTTTGAAAATTTTATCAGTGTTTTTTTTTCGTAAGTTGCAAGTCAGAGCTAGGTTCTAAATGTTGTAAGCGTACTATTACGAAACCAAAGAGAGGGAGGTTACTAGAAGGTACTACCCCTTGAGGTTACTAGAAGAGGTAGAAAAAAAAAGATACCATTTTACTAATTTGGTACTCTAAGCAGCAGAAGGTTTCGATAACCGTTATATATAGCAATTGAGACTTCGACCACGGGTCTCAAGATGGATGTGGGTTTATGTTCAGATGTCTATGGGCTCCGATGACCTCCTGCCATACCATACCAGGAATGACGAGAGCTTACATCTACTCAGATCATTTTGAGACAGTCGACCCGGGGTATTTGATAACAGTGGAGACAATGAAAAAGTCATTAATATAATATAGTCATTTACTGTTACTGTCACTGCCATTTTCGGTAGCGTTTCCTAATATGTCCTATATTATAAGTTTTATTCTTATTTCATATTAACTGTTTGTTATATTATTTACAACAAATGATACTGAATTGCATTAAATGAATTAGTTATGCAACTGTCAACTGTCAACAAATCCACGTCAATCTGCTTTTCACAGGTATGCCCTGCTCTATTAATTGATAGTAGAGGTCCCGCAGTAGTCGAAATTCCCGGAGGCGCTCGGGTAGCTGTTAGCAAATCCCACCCCTCCTGGCTGAGCCTTTGCTCGCCCACCTGTCCTGGTGAAACTGGAAAGGCCTCCGGGCCACCAGTAATCCTTCAATCATAAAAAAAAAAAAAGTCGAAATTCGACTATAATTAATTGGAATTATAAGTTTGTACACTATTATGATTGTATTTTATACTTCTATAATCACAAATTTCGCCAAGACTACACTATAAAAAATATTAACAAAGACAAACAATATTTAATCTATTCTCAATTTGACAACAGACGCCAAGAACAAAAGTTTGACAATAAATCACAATAAATAGTATGCATGCGTGTGTGCCTCAAATACATGGTATGTAGTGTGTGTAATGCTTTCTTTATTGATTTATTGCATCTTTTATACATTATTTAAAAAAAAATTAGCATTGTGCACTTCTTCTCTATATTCTCTATAAGTGTGGAAAATTTCATACTCCTCCGTCCGCGCAATTTTCGTAAAAAGGGATACAAAGTTTTTGCTTCACGTATTAATATATAGATAAAATTATTCAGTAGGAGCTATTCTGGTAAACAAACGTGAAAGCTTCGGTGCAACAATACGAGCTTACATAACAAATAGAAATCATTGCCAAAACAATTCGTTTGTACGTAAAATTATAGTGATATTTGAATCGGGAGATGAATTCTTGTCGTGCTGCCAAAGCATTCCGTCTCCTACGTATGCGTATGCCTACCCTGTACTGACTATCGTAAAAAGCTCTCGACGCCAAGCTATTGTTGAAAATGCACGTGGTTAAGTATGAAATATTATAAAAATGATATATATTTTTTTTAGGACACTAAAACCTCGATGCAAATGTATTTTACAATTAAATGTTTATGAATGTAAAGAAATAATTAGTATCATATTTTTTAAATACCACACGTAGTCGTAAAGTTAGGAAGGTAATTGTTATCGAATGAAATTGGGACAACTGGTGACACTTATGGCTTACTTTACTGTGCATATAAGTGTAAAGGGTTTGTTGAAACTGTTTCTTAAAACGAAGAATTGCATAGCATTTGTACGAATATCCTGATATAACATTATAAAGATCACGTTCTAAAAATTTTATTTTATGAGTTGTTTTTTCTTATCAGCAGCCCTTGATGCTTATACATTTATAAAAAATACATTACTTATATTGCAAATTCATGATTTTTTTATAATATTGTTTTGAAGTTAAGTGAAATGCATATGACGCAATTTTCTTTATTGCATAGATGAGTGAACGAGCTCATAGAGCACCTGGTGTTAAGTGGTTACCGGAGCCCATAGACATCTATAACGTAAATACCGCCACCCACCTTGAGATATGAATTCTAAAGTCTCAATTTAGCTACAACGGCTGCCTCGCCCTTCAGACCGAAACGCATTATTGCTTCACGGCAGAAATAGGAAGTGTGGTGGTACCTACCCGTGGAGACTCACAAGAGGTTCTACTACGAGTATTTAAAAAGAGCCAGTTTTATTTCATTACGCAATGTTATTCTTATGGAGAACTATATTTTGAAAGTAAAGCCAAAATGAAGATCTTCCACTGTGCGCGTGAAATTGCTCGGTAGACTGATGTCCTGAACTGTCATTGTTCGGAACTTGCAAATATGGAAGCTTATCTTGAAAATATTGTAAGCGTGATCTAGGCCTTTGTTAACTATCTTCTGTTCTGTCATAACCTAGCCGCTAAAATATTTTCGGGTACCAGAAAATTTTATATTGAACCGAAAAAAATATTTTCAAAACAAACTACTTTCATACTTTAATGAAAGTATTTAGATTGTCCGGATTTTAATTTTTCGCAATAACAAAAGCTGCACTACAATAGAATTATTCTCGAACAGCACACATTCTATTCATTACCCAACAAAAGTACCTTGCATAAAATGTTTTCAATCGTTTGTTCATAACAATCAATACGCTGGTTCACAGCGGTTTTATCTAACTAGGTCTTTCCGCATTGCTCCACCTTTTATCAATCAATACATTAAACATAATTACATGCAATAAATTACAGAAATAGACGTAATAATAATAATAATACCCATAATAATTTCATCAACCGGACTCATTCCAAAATCATTACACACATCGCTCTCAGAACCTGATCTTAATAAATATTCATACATCGCTTTACAAAAATCTGTAATAATCGACACCTGTTCCATAGTTTGACCTTACATCCACTACTCAAACCCCTACAACACTACACAATGAACCAACTCACTTGGCGTAAGCCCGTGCTAGGTTCACACTTACCAGCATTGGCTGAGAAAAAAAATATATCCATAACCCATAATAATAATAACAATAAAGTCACCTACATTATTGACATTGCAGTCCCGAATACCCACAACATTCAAAAAACTTTTACAGAAAAAATGACCAAATACACAGAGCTTAAAGAAGAAATAGTTAGAATTTGGAAACAGAAAAAAGTTTACATAGCCCCAATAATAATCTCAACCACTGGAGTTGTCCCAAACCACATCCACAACAGCTTAAAGCTTCTAGATTTAAAAGATAACATATTTATTTCACTACAAAAAGCAGCTATACTAAATACATGAAGAATACTACACGTAATAAAAACTAGCCTAAGAACTCATAGCTACTGTATGTTACTTGGCCAAAAGCCCNAGAAAAAAGTTTACATAGCCCCAATAATAATCTCAACCACTGGAGTTGTCCCAAACCACATCCACAACAGCTTAAAGCTTCTAGATTTAAAAGATAACATATTTATTTCACTACAAAAAGCAGCTATACTAAATACATGAAGAATACTACACGTAATAAAAACTAGCCTAAGAACTCATAGCTACTGTATGTTACTTGGCCAAAAGCCCGTATATACAGTTCTGCCGGCTCTGTCGACAGACTGGGCTGAGAAAGGGGAAACCTAATATAAATAATAATAATAATAATAAGCCTTTTATTTCCCATCTAGAAACCTAAATATTACATGTAAATATTCTCAACCATATATGACTCCCACATTCAGATCCAATTCCATTGCCGTTCACTTTTCCTCGACAGGAACCCCTATTTGGGTATAGGCCTCCTCCAGCTTAATCCAATTTAAATAGACGTACACATATGTAAATAAGCCATTTATCAGTTGAAACTTATAACTAATGGATTTGTCAAACGACTAAAATGATGTAAGGCATCCCGACTGATTTTATTGGAAGCATGGTTTCAGAAAGCATCTTGAAACCGGGTCTTTCCCGAAACGAAAGAAAATGTTAATACTGATCCCCAATACACAATACTGATTGAGTAAGCAATATTACAATTAAATAATAATAATCTTCGAGCAACGGGCATCCGGTTGCTACTTTCACTTACCATTGCTAGTTCATAAAATACGATCTAATATACTGTACAACAAATTTCATTGACTGCCTACTATGACCGTACTATATTTTATTCATTTTTATTTTTTTAAGAGATTTTATGACCTGGTAACTGAGACCTTTAAGTCATGTCTTATTTTAATTTATATTATTCATATTTTTATGAAAAATGATATTATGGAGTGAAATGAAATGAAGATGATTAATTAGAGACACTAATCAACTGGGATGAAATTAAATGAAATGAATTGAGATGATATGGGATGAAATATAATCTTAGTAAAATGGTGGTCATTTACTAAGATTTTTTCAGTGGACTTTTTGGAGGATCCCGAGAAGTTACGTCCAGCGGCTTTGTTTCATTTTCCCACATTTGTGCACTTTCACAGATATTAAACAGTTAATAAACCACCATTATTACATATTTAAACCCGAAGAAACACTAAATAGAGAAAATAAAACAAATCACACAACTTCACTCCTCGTGTGCCCGCCAAAAAGTCCTATTTTATTCATGATTTTGGGATCTGTATCCACCGTCTCTATAGTGGATACTTTTTTTTTATTGCTTAGATGGGTGGACGAGCTCACAGCCCACCTGGTGTTAAGTGGTTACTGGAGCCCATAGACATCTACAACGTAAATGCGCCACCCACCTTGAGATATAAGTTGTAAGGTCTCAACTATAGTTACAACGGCTGCCCCACCCTTCAAACCGAAACGCATTACTGCTTCACGGCAGAAATAGGCAGGATAGTGGTACCTAACCGCGCGGACTCACAAGAGGACCTACCACCAGTAAACTAACAACCGTTGTTACTAACAACCCTTTTATTTCTTGGAAAGGAATATTGAGAATCTTTTATCATTTATGACTTCCACTGAACGGAAATTCTGCAATTATAATTATACGACCCAAATAGACAAATAGCAGTTCGGTTATTTTAACTTTGGTGTTTGGTATGTAGCGCGTCATTGTGACTTGTTAAAAAAACGCACACAAGTGCAAAAAGTCGTCGTGGCCTAAAGGATAAGACGTCCGGTGCATTCGTATATAGCGATGCAACGGTGTTCGAATCCCGCAGGCGGGTACCAATTTTTCTAATGAAATACGTACTTAACAATTGTTCACGATTGACTTCCACGGTGAAGGAATAACATCGTGTAATAAAAATCAAACCCGCAAAATTATAATTTGCGTAATTACTGGTGGTAGGACCTCTGGTGAGTCCGCGCGGGTGGGTACCACCGCTCTGCCTATTTCTGCCGTGAAGCAGTAATGCGTTTCGGTTTGAAGGGTGGGGTAGCCGTTGTAACTAAAACATGAGACCTTAGAACTTATATCTCAAGGTGGGTGGCGCATTTACGTTGTAGATGTCTATGGGCTCCAGTAACCACTTAACACCAGGTGGGCTGTGAGCTCGTCCAACCATCTAAGCAATAAAAAAAAAAGTCATTCCAAAATTTTTTACCATCTACCCTCCGGCTCTGGTATAAACTCCAATTCTACGGTCTTTCGGGGTCCTTCTTTAAACGAGATTTCAAAATAATTCTGGACAACGGTTTATGTGGGCCTCTAACGTTCCCAATATCCACGTCCACCGATGAACTCTCACGATCAGGCGAACCGTAAGATCGAACGCCTTGAAAAGGTAAAAACAGTATTTGGTTTGCATCGTTGATGTGTTCAGGAATTTTATAATCTGGTTCTGTTGAAGTTCCAAACATTAATTTAATGCATGCCGTACCGCGTGTTGACGTAAATTCAATTTTAAAACAGATAAAAACATCAACTACCACGAATAAACCAATATAAGCGCAATAAAAATGAAAACTTTTAACACAGTATACGGTAGAACTGAATGGCTTTTATATTTAGTCGCGTATAAAAAAGTAAGACGTAAAATACGCATTCGAATTACTATCGATGAATTTAGGATTGTTTTCACTCGTATCTTCAGTAAGTTATGACGTTATAAAATTCGGGGAGTTATAAAATTTATTTAAAATTTCTTTCAATGTTTTATTTAAAACGAAACCTGAACACAAGTATATTACACTAATGTGACAAACACAGTATACGTTTATTACAGTACTGTGATTTTTTATTAATAATTATCATTTACCGTTTCGTAAAGTCTATTTTGAATCAGGGCTGATATAGTATATTTCAATAATTTAGTATTCTCCGATGAAATTTGTGTGCTATCAATATTGTGTTTGTTGTTGTTTTAATATGATTCACATCATATTAAAAATGATTTACTAAAGTAGGTAGGTAGGTGGTGGTAGGTTGTGAGTCCGCACGGGTAGGTACCACCACCCCACCTATTTCTGCCGTGAAGCAGTAATGCGTTTCGGTTTGAAGGGTGGGGCAGCCGTTGTAACTATACTGAGACCTTAGCACTTATATCTCAAGGTGTGTGGCGCATTTACGTTGTAGATGTCTATGGGTTCCAGTAACCACTTAACACCAGGTGGGCTGTGAGCTAGTCCACATATCTAGGCAATAAAAAAAAAATGAAGAACAGATACAAAAATGGTTTTAAATCTATTTCACCACGGTTATAGGTTTTTAATTTCTTTTCGGAAAAAACAAACAAACCGTTGTTTTTTAAGAAAAATATTTTGTTATGCAAAACTATTTGTATCAGTGTGCTTAGTGCGAGTTTTTAAACGTTCTCGAGAGCGTAAAAGTTAACCCAATTTTGTATGCAGTTGGAACAGCGCCCCTAGCGGCAAACGTAGGCAAACGATCCTATTCGCTACAAATATTAGCTAACTTTTACGCTATCGAGAACGTTAAAAAACTCGCACTAACACACAGATTTCGGACCACCAAATCTAAATTCAAACTTGGCGTAATAAATTTAAAAGAGTCTGGATGTAATATTTACCTGCACAAGCATTACACGGTACTCCTCCCGAGAGAACCTTGTAGAAGAATATTTCGCCGCTATCGTAATCCTTGGGGCTCCAGGCGGCGGGAGATCGAGAGGCCCCAGTACAGCATTCAGCGCGGGTCATGCGTAACGCAGACACTGAACTGCAGCGCCCGGCGCGGTCCATTCCCACCCAGCAGATCCCGGCTAAGCAAAAACATATTATATGTAATCAATGTTACTAGTGGTCCCGCAGTAGTCGAAACTCGACTAAAATTATTGAAATTATAATTTTGAACATTATTATGGTTCTATTGTCAAAGACTATTATACTAATCACAGATTTCGCCAAGACTACACTATAGAAAAATATTAATAAAGACAAACAATATTTAATCTATTCTCAATTTGACCACAGACGTCAAGAACAAATGTTTGACAACAAATAAATAGTATCCATGCGTGTTGCGTCAAATACACGGCAGTGTGTGTAATGTTTTTTTTATTCATTTAACGTATTTGTTAGGTATAGTTTAAAAAAATATGAACATTGTGCACTCCTTCTCTATATTCTCTATAAGTGTGGGAAATTTCATACTCCTCCGTCCGCGCAATTTTCGTAAAAAGGGATACAAAGTTTTTCCTTTACGTATTAATATATAGATTAAGGTAGGTAAGAATTTAATGCTGAAGTTCCGGCACACGGGACGTCATTTTATGACCATTCCTTTGCGGTTGAAGGAGTCTGTTTATGGAATGCACTACCCTTAAGCATCAAACACTCGTTCTCGCCGAAAATTTTCAAGTCCTGATTAAAATCGCACTACCTTGCACAATAATATCGCTCCTAGGATATAACTGTATAAGTTGCTACTTATTGCGTATTTACTTGCATATTTTTAGTATTTATTTGTATTTAATCGTATGTAAGTCTATCTTATATTGTATTTATTTTTCACATATGTATATAAGTATATATTTTTATGTAAGTTTATTAAGATATAGCACTTTCCATGCTAGTTTGCCTGGAAGAGATCGTTTTCAGCGATAGGCCCGCCAATTTATGTCACCGTCTATTATTTGTTGTATATGCTTTACTCTGTACATGTGGTGTCAAATAAAGAGTTATATTATTATTATTACTAGAGGTCCCGCAGTAGTCGAAATTCGACTATACCTAATTGGAATTGTAAGTTTGTACACTATTATGATTGTATTTTATACTTCTATAATCACAAATTTCGCCAAGACTACACTATAAAAAATATTAACAAAGACAAACAATATTTAAGCTCAATTTGACAACAGACGTCAAGAAGAAAAGTTTGACAATAAATAGTATGCATGCGTGTGTACGTCAAATACATGGTATGTAGTGTGTGTAATGTTTTCTTTATTGATTTAATGTATCTTTTATGCATTATTTTATAAAAATATTGGCATTGTGCACTTCTTCTCTATATTCTCTATAAGTGTGGAAAATTTCATACTCCTCTGTCTGCGCAATTTTCGTAAAAAGGGATACAAAGTTTTTGCTTCACGTATTAATATATAGATTATTAAGGTATGACCGATAAAATGTAGTGCTGTATTCCGTCTATTACTGCCGCAAAGGCAAATATCGATTGTCATCGTAACTGAACAAGTACAGTTTTTTTAATTGCCCTTTTAGGCAGACGAGCGTATGACCCACCTGATGGTGAGTGGTTACGATCGCCCCTGGACTACAGCAATGCCAGGGACAGAGCCAAGCCGCTGCCTTTTTTTATTTTTTTATTGTTTAGATGGGTGGACGAGCTCACAGCCCACCTGGTTTTAAGTGGTTTTAACTGGAGCCCATAGACATTTACAACGTAAATGCGCTACCCACCTTGAAATATAAGTTCTAAGGTCTCAGTATAGTTACAACGGCTGCCCCACCCTTTAAACCGAAACGCATTACTGCTTCACGGCTGAAATAGGCAGGGCGGTGTTACCTACCCGCGCGTACTCACAAGAGGTCCTACCAGGCCTACCAAATACGTGGGTGTAGAATAATTGTAAGTTTAGTACGGCTTATGAAAGCGGTAGCAGCGGCTTAGACGAATACGTAATGAGTAACGAAAATGATATTTACTTCGGTTTTCGCGAGTCGTAATTAAAACTTCTTTTACGGTTTAATCACGCATTTATAATGGTTCCAACGTTAACAATAGCTTAAGTGGTAGGACCTCTTGTGAGTCCGCGCGGGTAGGTACCACCGCCCTGCCTATTTCTGCCGTGAAGCAGTAATGCGTTTCGGTCTGAAGGGTAGGGCAGCCGTTGTAACTATACTGAGATCTTAGAACTTATATCTCAAGGTGGGTGGTGCATTTCCGTTGTAGATGTCTATGGGCTCCGGTAACCACTTAGCACCAGGTGGGCTGTGAGCTCGTCCATCCATCTAAGCAATAAATTAAAAAAAAAAAAAAACAGTTTTCGTGGTCAGGGACGACTAAGGTATTTATTATTCATTGACATTTGAATATTGTGTTAACTACATATTCTATTGTTCTATTTAAAAAAGATCTAGACTGTGTGTCATTTCGCACCAAGCCATTCAATAGTGTCTCGAGGTTTACCGAGAAGAAAATGTTACTTAATTGTTTTGTTTTTGACTATTATGTCTATGTTTGTCTATTCGTGTTTTATAGGCTAGCTTGTTTATTTTTAAGGCTGCTTTGAAGCTTTCTGAATTGGTTGGCACTTCCGAAAAGGTATCTGATTTAGTACCATCGAATTAGGATGGGTAGCGCGTGAGTAATTTCAATATTTTTTTACTGGTGGTAGAACATCTTGTGAGTCCGCACGGGTAGGTACCACCACCCTGCCTTTTTCTGCCGTGAAGCAGTAATGCGTTTCGGTTTGAAGGGTGGGGCAGCCGTTGTAACTATACTGAGACCTTAGAACTCACATCTCAAGGTGGGTGGTGGCATTTACGTTGTAGATGTCTATGGGCTCCAGTAACCACTTAACACCAGGTGGGCTGTGAGCTCGTCCACACATATAAGTAATAATTAAAAAAAATATTTACGAAACCAAGGAGAGGGAGGTTACTAGAAGGTACTACCCCTTGAGGTTACTAGAAGAGGTAGGAAAAAAGGTACCATTTTACTAATTTGGTACTCTAAGCAGCAGAAGGTTGCGATAACCGTTATATATAGCAATTGAGACTTCGACCACGGGTCTCAAGGTCCGGTAACCACTTAACACGAGGTGGACTGTGAGTTCGTCCACTCATCTATGCAATAAAAAAACGTTTTTATACTATGTACATATTTTTAAAAGTAATCGAGAGAGCTGCGGTATATGTCTTGGTCAAACATAAATTTAGTTTATTAATATTTTTATCAATAGTCTAAAGTAACGTAGGCTCGGCGATTATATTTCACAGAATAACATTATTTATCACGAAGTTTTTGTATATATTGAAAATATACAATAAAAATGTACATTAAAGCCTGTCCATTAGCATTTTGCGTAAGCACAGTAGTCAAGTTCCGGAAAGGATACAGCAAAAAAACGTAAAACAAAAAATGAAGGCAGCTTAACATAAAGCTGAGATATGTTTAACACTAAGTATGTTTCCCAACAGACCCATACAAAAAGTAACCATTTTGTAAATTGAATTATTTAAATCAATTGTGAGCATATTATAATTGACCCTTCCCACAAAACTCAAATAAAATAATTAAAAAATACTTATTAAATATCCAATCTAGTATCTATCTGTGTTATCTGCGTACACTGATTTCACAATGGCAAAGTCTATGAATATAATTCGAGTCTAGATCGTAATCTTTTCTCGTCTTTTGTGTATTATTATGCTGATCTCTTGTACTACGACAGCTCGCGTGAGGAGTTGTTCTGTATGCTTACGTAATAGCGTCTTAATCGCATAGGATATCGTTCCCAATCCGTGTATTTAAATAAAACGATCGCCTGTGCGTTGTCCGTTGAAAATAACACTACCCCATCTCTTTCCGTGGGTGTCATACAAAGCGATTAACTCGAGAAACGGCAACAGCATTCTCTGGTCAGTATACTTATCTGCGTGAAACTGACCAGTCATCGTTCTCGTCGAACCCGACAAAGGGCTCGACGAGTAAATTAACCCACGGACACAGCCCACTGAGTTTCTCGCCGGATCTTCTCTGTGGGTCGCGTTTCCGATCCGGTGTTAGATTCTGCGGAGCACGGCTCTCGCTAGGGTTCGTGTTAGCAACGTCGTCAGGATTGAGCCCCGTGAGCTCACCTACTAGTTAAGGTTATGCTGAAATAGCCTCTCAAGGCTATCAGCTTAGGTAGGAAAAAAAAAGTGAAACTGAAATAGTCCCTTAGGCTACCAGCGAATAGGTAAGGAGAAAAAAAGAGTATTATGCCAGCGTCTTGCGAAGGTTTATCGTATTTACTAGGGGTAGGGCAAATTGTATGCTCGCACGGGTGGGCTCCAGCATGAAAGGTGGGACAGTCGTACAATAACAATTAAGACGACGAGCTAATATATCTGAAGAAGGGTGACGGATTTGCGTTGTGATATCTACAGGCTCTGTAACTATTTAACTCGTTCTTCCGCTTTCTTCTTTTTTTTTTCCTACATAAGCTGAGAGCCTTGAGAGGCTATTACAGCGTAACCTTAACTAGTAGGTGAGCTCACGGGGCTCAAAAGTGACGACGTTGCTAACACGAACCCTAGCAAGAGCCGTGCTTCGCAGAATCTACCACCGGATCGGAAACGTGACCCATTGAGAAGATCAGGCGAGAAACTCAGTGGGCTGTGTCTGAGGGTTCGTTTTCATCATTAATCAAGATTGCCTTTGTGAATTTTATTCTGAATTGTGACGTGTGATGAAAAGTGAATCTCTACAGGGCTAATGAAACGTAATGGATTGGTTATGGCTTCATGGCGTGCTTCAATAAAGGTTTTTGAGATCCGTTACATCAATAGCAGCAGATGTGATATGAAGAACTCCGAACGAAGACGGTGAAACGATCAGAGTACCAGCCTAATCACACAGCAGACCAGACAACTAACATTCTCCTGTTTTGCCAAACCGTTATAAAATTACAAGTTAGAAGCTAACTGTCGCACTAGCGAAAAATAGCCCCGTTCATATTTTTTCTTCAATTAGTACTTCTCAATATTCACAGAATGCGAAACAAATAATCCTTCCCGACTTTGTAGTGTC